GGGGCAGGGTTTGGGATGGGCTTTGGGGCGGGGTTTGGGGCAGGGTTTGGGATGGGCTTTGGGGCGGGGTTTGGGGTAGGATTTGGGGCGCTGTCCCCGCGGTGTCGCCGTCGCTGTCCCCGGGCGCTCCCCGGGGGTCGCACACGCTCCAATCCCCCGCGTAGCGGTTGCTGGGGGGGCTCTCGGGACCCCTCGGCCGCGACCGCGCCACCACGGGGGGGTCACCCGGGGCCACCACGGGGGGGTCACTCAGGGCCACCACGGGGGGGTCACTCAGGGCCAGCGCCGAGGGGCGACCCCGGGGAGCCTCGGCCCAGGCAGGGAGCGGGGGGACTGCAGGGACAGAAGGGGACAGGTGTCAGTGGGGGGGGTCCCTGTCCCCTCCCCAGGTGTGTCCCCTCCCCAGGTGTCCCCTCACCTGGCCACACCCTCAGCAGGTAATGTAGCACCTCCAGGTGCCGCTTGAAATCCACGGCTCCGGCCGCATCCTCTCCGGGCTCCTGGCCCTGCTGGCCCTGCTGGCCCGGGGCGTGGCCCTGCTGGCCCTGCTGGCCCCGGGGCCGTGCGGCCTCACCTGCGCAGGTGTGCGGGGGCAGCAGCACGGGCCCGAAGCACACGGCCAGGTTCTGGCTGCCCATGCGGTTCCAGCGCTGCAGCGCCGCCACCAGGCTCAGGTGTGACAGCAGCCGCCGCAGGGTGGCCTTGGGGACACGGGGACAGCGGCGCCGTCACCCGGGGGGGTCTCACCTGAGGGACACCTGCGCAGCCCCATCCCCCTTCCCGCTCCTTCTTCCCAGCCCCGTTTCCATTTCCCATTTTCCCCATTTCCTTCATTCCCACACCCTTTACCCATTCCCAAACTGCCACCCTCTTTTTCCCCATTCCACTCCCATATTCCTGTTCCCCGTATTCCCACCCCATTTCCCACCCCATTTCCCCAATCCCAATCCCATTCCCAATCCCTTTCCCACCCTCTCCGGGGGTCTCAGGCATTCCAGCAGCGCCGCGGGGTCCCCGGGGGGGTCCCGGGGGGGTCTCTGGGCCATGGCCTCGAGCACCGAGCGCTGCAGCCGGGGCGGCACCAGCGGGGACGGCAGCTCCCGCAGGAAATCCTTCAGGATCCCTGCAAGACACCACGGGGTCCCGGTTGTGGGGCCAGGGTCCCATTTTGGGGCTGGGATCCCATTTTTTATACTGGGAACCCCTTTTCGGTACTGGAACCCCTTTTTTTGATACCAGGAACCCCCCCTTTTCACCCCCAAATCCCTCCCTTTCAACCCCAAAATCCCCCGCGTTCCCACCCCGGGATGTCCCCGCGTGTCCCCCTGACCGGTGACCACGTTGATGTCCGGGCAGAGCCGCTCGGACAATGCCACGGCCGCGCTGTCCCTCTCGAAGGCGTCCCGCAGCTCCTTCTTGGCCGCGGCCGAGCCGCAGAGCCGGTACAGCCCCACCACCTGCGGGGTCACTGCTGGTCACTCTCCGGCCACCGGTCATCAGCGGTCACCCCCCAGGCCCGGCCACTCCTCGGCTTCAGTCGCCCCTCGGTCACTCCCTGGGTTACCCCTGGTCACTCCCCGGTCACCCCCGGTCACTCCTGGTCACTCCTGGTCACTGTGGTCACTCCTGGTCACTGTGGTCACTCGGTCACCACACTCACCGCCAGCCCACGCCGCTCGATCTCGGCCAGGCACTTGAGCACGAGCAGCGGGACCTGTCCCGGGTGTCCCTCGCGCGCCACCAGCTGTGACAGCTCCACGCCGAACACTCGCGGGCCCGGGGCCACCCGCGGCTGTGACGGTGACGGTGACAGCGACGGTGACAGCGACAGGCGGCAGAAGAGCACAGCCCGCGGCCGCAGAGCCAGCGCCAGCGCCTGTGACCGGCCACCTGCGGGGACACGGGGACATCAGAGGGACAGCGGGACACCCCCGGGGTCACGGGGACATCAGAGGGACAGCGGGACACCCCCGGGGTCACGGGGACATCAGAGGGACAGCGGGACACCCCCGGGGTCACGCCGGGACACCCGAGGGTGGGAATCGGCGGAGCCCCCTCGGGACCCCCCAAATCCCCCCCAGGTGCCCCCGGTACCCTCGAAGAGCCGCGCCAGCCCCACGGTGCCGTGGCAGAGCAGGCGGTTCCTGCCGGCCGAGCCGTCCCAGGCCAGCACGGCCACGCTCAGCAGCCGCGCCCGCTCCAGCTCCAGGTTGAAGCAGTGGTCAAGCCGCAGGAATTCGGCCCCTCCGGCCAGCAGCGCTGTCCGAGCGCGGCTCGCTCCGTCCACCTGCAGCACGCAGAAAAGCCGCTCCGGCCAGGCCGGCCGCAGCCCCCGCAGCTGGACGCTGACCAGGCCGGACAGCACGGCCGAGCCCCTCGCGGCGGGGTCCTCGTAAGGCCGGAACGCCCCCAGATCCAACCCGGGCTCCGCGGGACCCCCGGGCCGGGCGGGCCGGGCCGGCAGCTCCGGGGAGTCGCCGTCGCTGCGGTGTCCGGCCCGGCCGGAGCCCCCGCGGGGCAGCGCCCAGGCCACGCTGCTGTCCAGGTGGTAGCGGCTGATGACGTTCCGGGACTCCCGGCGGGACTCGGGGGGCGAGGGGCAGCCCCCAGCCCCATCGGGGTCGCGGGGCCGGGGGCTCCTCAGGCTCAGCTTCCGCCGCAGCTCCGGCAGCTTCTTCATCTTGAGCGAGAGGCGCCGCACCGGGCCCGGCGATTTGCATTTGGGGAGGGGGCGGCCCTTGCCGGGGGGCGAGGGGGGCTCCGGCGGCTTCCCTGTGGGGCGGGGGGCGCAGGGGTCAGCGGGGGGCTGGGGAGGGGTCTGGGGGTGTGGACCGTGGAGTTTGGGGAGCACTGGGGACAGTGGGGACACACGGTGGGGACAGGGGGCACCGGGGACAGGGGACATTGGGAACAGGGACTGGCGACATTGGGGACAGGGACTGGGGACAGGGGACACTGGGGACAGGGGACAGGGGGGACAGGGGGGACATTGGGGACAGGGGGGACTGGGGACAGGGGGCAC